GAACAGCGAATTAACCCTGCCTTAGAACCGAGATTCTTTCACAGCTGATATCATCTCTCTTACGGCTTATAAACACTCCAGGCTCCCTGTATGTGCTTTCCTGGCTTTCGCTCTTTCCCCGCAGCAGAGGAGAGGAGGAGAGGAGAGGAGTGGAGAGGAGAGGAGAGGAGTGGAGAGGAAAGGATGCTCCCGCCTGCATGCAGCTAGGAAGGGGAGGAAGGGGAGGAACAGGCGAGCTCTAAAGGCAGTACTGCGTGTCAGCAGAATGAAACATGGCACTGCCACCCGAAAACAAGGCAGAGTTAAAAGGTGGATGGGAGAGTGAGTTTGGGGGCGCCTTGGAGGTGTGTGTGTGTGGCGGGGGGGGGTGTTCTCATGCATCATCAGCCACTCACTGCATGGCTCTGCCTGCTCTACCGTGCGAGACAAGGTAGTACGACAAGGCCATTCATGTGCTGCCATCAAATATAAGAGATTTTTCAAGCAATATGAGATCTTAAATTGTTCACGGATAGCAGAACTAGCATCAGAACGCTAAACAGGAAAAAAATAACCCACTATCATATTTCATAATGTATGTCATAATGAACAAAAGCCTTTCAAAAAAAAACGGTTTTCACTGTGCTAAAGTAACAATCTAGACTTGTTGTAAGTATATTATTCTTACAAGTAGTTCGCAGTTATTCTTGAAGGCAAGTCTTGGAGTTTCCTTAGCATAGTGCTGCTGGGGAAAATTTTCAGCATGTCCATCTTCATCTCTAGCCTGAAGGGAAATATAATGGCCTATTTAGGGACTTACAAATAATGGAAGGAAAAAAAAATAGCTAAAAGCATAACAGCTCAGATCATTAAAACAGACGGGAATCCCAAAATACAACATTATTTAAAAGTTTGTTTAAATACGCAGTACACCTTTTAGATACAAGAATTTGGGATGCTGTTTTCTTACATAGCTTAGGTTGAACATGCAAATTCATTGCATTGCAAATAATTAGAACAACAAAAGACAAACTCAAAATGAAATATTTGAGCTGGAAACTGTGAGTAACTCAGGGTTTCAATTTACTCTATTGCATTTTTCAGGATTACATTACATATGTACCCATTTAAACTTTTTGACATGCTTAAGCAATCCCCAGATAACGTACTTGCATTTTCAGTTTACAGCAAGGCCAGAAAAAATAAAGAAGTTTTCATACTCATAATTTACATGTAATACTATTATAGATAAATGGATTCCCCCTCCATGTTTAAGCGAAGCTTTGAAAGGAGCAATCATCTAGCGAGAACAATGATCCTTCAGTCAAACGCGGTCAAAATATTTAATGACGAAGATGCATTGAAAGTTACTGGTTATTTGGAACTACACTGTTAATTAAGAAAGCTGAAGTTTAAATGGAGACATTACCAGAGCCCATTAGCAATCCTGCTTGCATATAGTATTTTTCCCTTCTCATCTACAGCGTTTGCTGCTTTTGAGTTAAAGCAAAAGGGAGAAGCAGGTGAAAGGAGGAGTGTCAGCAATACACTCATTACACTGTTCATTTGGGTGACACTTGCACTCCGTTCCGCTCCGTCTCATCTGATCCCTGACTGTTCGCTCTCTCCCTCTCGCAGCCTCCCGAAATTCACAGCTGAGCTGTCTCCCTCACATATGGCTTGCATATAATTATGCACATTCCATTTTACACTGCATTAAAATGATGAGCTCCTGGCTCCCTGCCAACTTATTTAAATCAGCCCCTGCCCAAAGAAGACGAGGAGAGGAGGAGGGTAGAGGGGTGGGGGGGCAGCCGGAGGTGGGGGGCGAGGGGAGCAGGCGGAGGGAACCAGGCGAGGAGCAG